TTTTGGGCAAAATGTACAATATTTCAGACAGAAGGAATATGTTTGAGATCTACTGTACAGCAGGGTAACTGCAATTAACAATAATGTATATATCAAACTAATAAGAGTAAAATTTCAAATATCTAACCATAAAAATGACAGGTAAACAAGGTGATGGATATGTTAATTAGCCTGACCTAATCATTCCACATTGTATACCTATATTAAAACATCACATTGTACTCCATAAATGTTTACAACTGTAACTTATCAATTAAAAACATTAATTAAAAAATTAGGACATGGAGAAAATCATAAATAGTAGGAAAAAACTCAGAATAATCTGTAGTTAATTATTCCATGTCTGTATTAAAATGAGTATGAATTTACATATTCTCACAAACACAATAGAAGAAGAAGATGACAATAATCTACGTCCATAAAGAAGTAGAAAAGAATAGATTAAAAGGGAGCTTCAAAGCAAATTACAATAGAAAGGGGTCAGGTAGTGTCAAATATAAAAATGTCAGAGATTTTTTGAAAGCCAACTGTTGCCAAACAGAGTCAAATTAAGCAAAAGTTTTTAACTGGAGATAAAAATATTCGAGGCAATCCATCTCTGGTCTCAGTGCACACTGACCCGTTGGAGAAGAGCCTGGCAACAACAGAAGTATGCCACAAAGTATGTCCTGAGGTAAGCCATGAAGCTCAGCCACCCTAGCCTATCACCAGTCATCATGATTCCTTTCGATGATGACTTAACCACCATCGAGCAACTCTGCCCACACCTGCCAGAAGCTACACAGGGCCCCCCAGAATCCTACCGCACTTCTGAAGGAACACGCAGCCAGGGCCTAGCACAGGGACAACTATTTGTGATATAAATGGATGAATGCCGGGCTCGGTGGCTCAGCCTGTAATCCCGCGCCTTTGGGAGGCTGAGGTGAGTGGATTGCCTGAGCCCGTGGGTTCAAGACTCGCCTGGGCAGCGAGACCTCATCTCTACAATAAATCAAAAAATCAGCCGGGCGTGGTAGCGCATGCCTGTAATTTCGGCTACGTGGAAGGCTGAGGCGGAAGGATCGCCAGAGCCCAGCAGGTCGAGGCTGTGGTGGCCAGAAGCAGCCACTGCACTCCAGTCTGGGCGACAGAGTGAGACTCCAACTCAAAAAAAAAGGATGAATTACCTCCCCAAGGCTATCTCTTCACCTGAACACCTGAAGTTCTCTCTAAGGTGCTCATGATGAGTTTGACCTGAGCAAGTCACTGGATATGTAGCCGCTGTGTTCTCAGTAATTGCCCCCATAAATCCAAATTTGGAAGTTAAGGTCGCAGCCACCACACCTGACGCCTCTACAGCAAGTCAGGGTCTGCAGGTGCTCTGTTTAGGAGGGGCGTCTTGCACAACAGGAGTGGCTCTTGGTGCTCTCATGCACACAGGGGCTTCAGAAGGAAGTCTCAAGAAGCAAAGGCTGCCCTTGACTATTTCTAAAAATATTGAACTTTTATGGTCGCTAATTTCAAGCTCACTGAAACAGTTGTGCTTAGACTAAATACGATTGAAACAAAGGAAGTCTGTTTCATATTCAAACTGAGGAACAAAGGAAGAATTTGAGGAAAAAAGAAATAAAAATATTAACTGGCTATGAATTTAAACTAATCCTAATAATTTTTTTCTAGAAAATAACTACATTTTCACTTAAGTTCAGAATGACCTAAGTTAAATACCGTGCTAAAACAGGCATAGGATTAGCATATTTTTAATGGGAATCAGAACATGATTTTGCTATGGTTGAAAATTCCCTGTGATTAGAGAGGCTGGAAGCTATGAATATGGCCATTCTAATATACTTGGAAAGTCCACTGAAGAGAAACGTGAAATGAAAGCATTTCAATTCATGCTGGGAGAAGTTTTAAACCATTTTTGCTCTTCCAAAAAATACTCAAAAGCCTCTCTCTGCATTTTGAGTCCTTTTACTCTTTCTAGGGAAGGCTCCTGAAAACTCCAATGACTTTCATTTGAAATAAACATGCCAAATCAACAACTGCAAGTTTTAACTTTAGAATCAATGAACTATACTCAGGTTATCTTTGCCAAAATTATCTTCATCGGTATCTTCTACTGTGACTACCAACAGATTATTCCAAAGGTCACCTCCCTCTCCACATTTAAGATGCTCAAATACAGTATTATCTAAACATTAGCAAGAACTCCTTTATCCTGAGAGAGAATGAGACTTCTAAGCTGGGGGCTAGAGGTGGTAAGAAAAAGGAAATCTCAGTAAAATTTCCCAGTACCTTTCCAGCTCCTGCAATTGCTGGCTGGATAGCTCCTCAGGCTTCATGATGTAACAATAACAGCTCTTCAAAATAGTCTTTGAACAGTTGCTTTGTCTGACAGCGTTAGTTTCCTTAAGACAAGGGAGGAACACACACACCTTCCCCAGTCACACATAGCTTCTGATTGAACCATGCAGCTGTGGTGAGAATTAACGGAGCTGATACATGTCAGGCGCTTATGACAGTTTCTGTCACACAGCAAGTCCTCAGTAAATACCAGTTATTGCGATTTTATCACATTCCACTTTGACCCGCTCTACATGCCTTGGGAAGCAGAGAGAGTAAGTGAGAGAGAAAACGGGAAGACTCCTCTCCCTTCAAGCACACACACCATAGCCCACATAAGTTCATCTCTTACTGGGGGCAGGAGCCTAGACCCAGCCATTCGGGTTCCTTTTATAAACCAACTCCTATTGGTGCCAAGCATGAAAGGATGACCAAGATTTTCTCAGAATCCCAAAAGCCAACCTGGCGAGCCAATTATTTACTAATCCTTAGCAGATATGAAGGGTTACTGTGGGTTAAACTAGAGATTCAGAAGGGGAAATCCCACTCAAAAGAGAATGAAAAGCAGATCAGCTGGAAATTGGAGGCACGTGACGGAAGACTAATGGGATCAGACTGACCCAGCAGGCCAACTTAAAGACAACGGGGAAGACACGGCACGGCCACGCAGTCAGTGGCAACCAGGAGGACTGGGAGGCTTGGAGAAGCACCCTGCCTCATTATCACCAACGAGGGGAGCGTCACACTCCTTCTGACTTGGTGTGAAAGTTTACTCGGCAGAGCCCTAGACCATTCTGCTAAGGTCCCTTCTTGCTCTGACTGTGTGACTCTAGCGGATATGGGAACTGAGCCAGCAGTGATGTCTAGATAGGAGTGTTGGATTTGGCTGTTTCAGGGTCACTTATTTCTTTTTGAGGTGGGGTCTCACTCTGTCACTCAGCCTGGACAGTGGCATGACCACGATGACCATGGCTCATAGCAGCCTGGACCTCCTGGGCGAAGGAGATCCTTCCACCTCATCTTTCCAAGTAGTTGGAACTACAGGCACGCACCACCATGCTCAGCTAATTTTAGAGATGAGCTCTCACCGTGTTGCCCAGGCAGGTCTCGAACCCATGGGCTCAGGCAATCCTCTCACCTTGGCCTCTCAAAGTGCAGGGATTACAGGCTTGAGCCACCATGCCTGGTGAAACCATAGATCCTTCAAGTGAATTTTGCAAACCTGAGCCTTCTAACTTGCCCAATCAGATGGCTGAACTTGCAAGACCATGTATATGAGTCAAGGGCTGGGGCTGCGAGACAGGGCCCAGATGAGCTACATTTTAGAACTAGGGTACAGTTAAGGCGTCACAGGATGAGTGAGGTTTTATCATACATCAGCTCTTCTGTTTTTTCCTAATTCCAATCATTTTATTTTATTTTTATTTTTTGTGTAGGAGTCTCACTCTGTTGCCCAGGCTGGAGTGCAGTGGCACGCTGCTCACGGTCACCACAGCCTGGACCTGCTGGGCTCAGGTGATCTTTTTGCCTCAGCCTTTCCACCACGCCTGACAACCTTTTTGATTTATTGTAGAGATGAGGTCTCACCAAGTTGCCCAGGCTGGTCTCAAACCCATGGGCTCAGGCAGTCCTATCATCTTGGCCTCCTAAAATGCTGAGATTGTAGGCATGAGCCACCGCGCCTGGCCCCAACTCTCTCATTTTAAATAGTATATGTTGATTATTACAAAAGGTGTTCAATTTTCCAGTCCTCTGACTTCACGATTTTTTTTTAATCGGAGTCTCACTCTGTTGCCCAGGCTGGAGGGCAGTGGCACACTCACGGCCACCCCAGCATCGACCTGCTGGGGCTCCAGTGATCCTTCCGCCTCAGCCTTCCAAGTAGCCAGAACTACAGGCCCACATTACCATGCCTGGCTAATTTTTGATTTATTGTAGAGACGAGGGTTCGCCAAATTGCCTGGGCTGGTCTTGAACCCGTGGGCTCAGACAATCCACTCACCTTGGTCTCCTAAGTGCTGGGATTACAGGTTGAGCCACCAAGCCTGGCCTGACTTCACAATTCTTAAACTCCTGCACAGTGCATTATTGTACATTGTCTTCAACCACAATTAAAACTCAAAGGTCTTGTTTACTCATCTTTTGGATGAAACAATGGCTTCAAATCTCCCACATTTTTTGAAAAAAGCAACTTCAGTTCACCTAAAAGAGGACCATCTCACAAAACACTGCAAAGAAAAGGTTAGCCATCACATCCACATTGTACATACCATATGAAAGTATGCAGGTAATGCTTGTTAAATAAGTGAAAAAATGATATGGAATTTTCTCCAGCTATTACAAATCACAGAATACACTGAGGTACTCAAAGCAGCAAGCACCACACACAGCATTCTATTTAGTTTCTGCAAGCTGATACCATAAATGTAAGCCAATTTCAGATTTTCATAATGAGTCACAGTAATATTCCATTTATGACTGCACACACATTTGATGTTGGAATGTCAGAATTCTACACATAGCTGAGAATATTTCACTAGAGAAAAAAATACTCTTTCACATCTTACATATGTTTAGCAAAATTTTCCTGTGCATATTCAAGGAAACAATCTATCACATATAATCAAGAATTACTATCAAACACAAACTGAAATAACAAAATATGAATATCCTACCTGAACATCCTTGTATTTGTCTCGTAAATCCAAGAGCCGATGATAAGCTTTAATGGCTTCTGAAAATTCCCCAACGTCAGTGCTGGTGAGGATGTAGTTTTCCCAAATTTGCCAGTGTTCATAGTTACACTTGAGAGCTTCTTGTAAAGTTCTAAAAGCTTTTACTCTATTGAAGGTCAAATTTTTAAAAGAGCAATAATAAACTCTTGTTATTAGAATAAACCATGTAAGTGTATAAAATGCAAACTGTCTGTCCTTAATCATTCATGTTAATAAATACAACCCTAAAACACCTCAGATTTTCCTATAAAATTCAATAACAGACCCTGTGGTATACAGAAAAAAAACATACAGAAATACCCCTTCCCTAGCCTATTTACTGGTAACAAGGACTTTATTTCAAAACTAGGTATTAATCCCAAAATCACTCCAGGAGAAAGCTCACTCAAATTCCAGACTTGGAGTCAGAGTAGCTAAACAAGTGCAATTGCATAACTTCTCATGAATCTGCAAACCATAATTCTACAACTTGTGAAAAAAAAATCTACATTAGGAAGGACAGTCAATAAAATTAACCAGTAAAACATACATTTACTAAATTTATAAAATTAATTTTAAGGAACAATCTATCAAGTCTTTAAATAAACATATTTGCTTGGAAAGAAGATATGAAGAAACAATTTACATTTTTAAAAAGCAGGAAATTGTAACAATAACAGTGAGAAATGAAATAAGAACAAGCAGATGTGAATAAAAACCAACTGAAACTTAAGTATTGAAAGATACATTAAAACAACAATAAAAAATCTCAACAGCTGAGCAAAAACTAGACCGCAAAACAGTCAAAGAGAAACTGGTGAGCTGGAAGATAAGAGTGAGGAGTCTATACAGAATTCAGATTAAAAAACAAAAGAGCTATAAAGAGACAGAAGAAATAATAAGCGGTAAGGCTCAAAAATCCATCTGATAGACATTCCAGAGTAAGCAAATGCAGAACACAGCAGGATGCTGTATTAAAAGTTAATAGCTGAGCACTTTCCAGAACTGAACAAAGATCTAAATTCTATGATCAAAAGTGTTTCCCATACTAAGCGTTGCAAGTAAAGGTAAACCAACGCCCAGATGTATAGTGTGAAATTTAGGAAAGATATTCCCATAACCTACAAGGAATGAATATTAGAGAATGATAGATATTTCATCAGCAACAAGATGACAGAAGACAATAAAACTCACTTTTAAAGTGCTGAGTGAAAATAACTGTCAGTCTAAAATTTTATAACCAGCTAAACTTGGCACTCAAGAATAAATGCAAAATGAAACATTTTAAGATACACAAAAGCTAGGCAGGTTTACTGCCTATTGATCCTAACTAAAAGATCTGCCAAAAGGAGCCTTTCTTGCAAAAATAAAAGGGAATTCAAAAAGAAAGGAAGGAAATATGTCTTCAAATTCTACCATAAATTGTGTCTATGGAATTGTTTTTCTTTCTCTACCCCAATACCTTCAACAGTGGCAGACTGAGACTCCCCACTTCTTCCATCCACAGGGGTGAACCCAACAAGCAGCAATCCTCACCAGAGGATTATCCTTTTTCCTACATGTCCTCCCATTCTCAAATCATAATTCCTGGCCTCAAAATCATTCAATAACTTTTTTCTTTTCTGGTAAATACAGCTTCCTTATAAGGTGCTTCATTTCAGGATTCACTTATCAAATCCACTATGTAGAGATATTGCATTATGAACTTTATATCCCAAGACTGGAAGTTTTCCCAAGGGACTGGTAGGAACATGATACCTAGATGATACCTGGGGGAATGGAATGAAACAGCAAAAAGAGCGCTTCAGTGAAGAACCTTATAAGAACAAAGGGATAAAGATAGTTTAACGGGTGGCCCCTTTCAGGCATGGACAGCATTCCTTTGAGAGGAAGTGTTAATCATTTACCTCTGAAGTAACAATCTCATTAGCCATATCTGGTGCAGTAGAAAGGAAAGGGTAAAAAGGCAAGAAAAAAGGAATGATTTATCTCTAACCTTACAACCCCACTTTTATCCAGAAACCGATTTGTGGAGCTGCAGGAAGGCAAGCAAGTATCAAAAAGAGGTTGGGAAATAGTCTGAAGGAACCCCCAAGAGAAAGCAGAATTCCTAACATTACTGGATCGCCAGGCAAAGTCTCTACAAGGCCTCCAGGGCCTCACTCCATACAAACTTACCTGGGCTACCAGGAACATGCACTAGACCACTTTGCATCTAGGACAGGGATTTCCCCAGCCTGTTGCTTTAAACCAAAGAGGTCTCCAGCAAGCTTTGACATAATCAGTTACCATCAAGGACACAGTATTATCTTCTAAGAGAATGATAGAACAAATAGTACTTTATTTGTGTAGACTGTCATCCAGGGTGGAGGAAGCATTTCATGATCTCAACGTAGCATGGCTTTAATGATGTCTTCAGAGCTATCTTGTGATTCCACAAGGAAAAATTAAATTGAGTTTGAAAATAAAGCTAAGTTCAATGGAAATACATCCATTCTTCATTACTTTCATTAAAACTCTGCCAACAGCAATCCTTGACTTTTCCTTCCCCTTTGCTTTCGTAGCTGGCTGTCCCCTGCATAAATGGCTTGGCATCTGCCCCTACTCTTTCCACTCTATTATCTCACGCCTGGGTTGTTACAACAGCTGTCTCCTGACTGGTTTCCCAGCCACCGGTTTCCTCTCCAGTCTGTCTCACACACTGCCACCAGATGAATCTTCCTACAAAGCTTCTTTCTTCATAAAATTACCCCCCACCCAAAATCTCTGGCTTCCTATTACCAACAGGACAGTCTCCACTCATTGGATAATTGAAAGACACTGCAATTTGACCCTACTCTGCCTTTCTAACCTTATCTTTCACTAAATCTCACATTATTCTACATCTGGCTATTCTGCATACTATCTCCTAAAATACATTTATCCCTGTCACTCTATATCTGGTCACATTATTTCCCCTCCCCTGTCCCTTCTACCCATCCTTCAAATTTCTGCTTGAGTGCAACATTCCCTCAGAAGTGTCTCTGACCCAGGATCAAACATCTTCTCTCTTCTGAGATCATCACAGGACTCAATGAGTGTCTGGCACATATTTAGTGCTCTACAAAAATCACCTGCCATTATTTTGGCCTCTTTGTATTCTCACTTGACATTTACCACATATACCCTAGTTTACTAATCAATTTTTAAAATAAGATGGTATAATATCTTACTTTTTAGGCCTACATTCTCTGAAGACACTGGTTCATTTTATTACATTTCTCAATACCATCTAGTACAGAGAAAGCAATCAATTAACGCATGTCAATTGAGGAGATCAACTAAAGTCATGCTTGCTCTTATGTCATGGACTCTAGGATGGAAAACTTCAGCACCAAGTAAAGATTTCAAGTAACAATTTTTATGTTATTACATATTAAGTGTTTTTAAGAAATAAACTGTTTATTTGGAATTTAAAGGGCATATTAAGTCATTCTTAACTCACAAGGGTGGGAAAGGGAAAAAGATAAAGAGTAAGGCACAGTGTTTCACCATTCAGCTGGAGAAAACTCATTCATCTATTTTGGAAGTAAAATTCTTCATATTTGTGTGAAGTACTTACTTTTGTTTTAATCGGATATAGGAAGTTGATAAATTGTTCCAAGCCTCAGCATTCTGAAATGATAGAGAATCTAATTATAGACTAGTCTCATTTACGTAAAGTAATTGGTGAAATGAAAAGTACAAAACATTTTCCTAATCCAACACGTGCTCTTTAAAGTCACAATTTCTAATAAAGTATGATTAAAGATATATGACATAATTACATTAAACATAACTTTTATTACAATTTAGGGGAAAAATAGTCAAACAGATGATATAAATTATCATTGCAATGATGTGGAATTCAGTTAAGATTTTATTTCATATTTAGATTTACAAAATAGTTGGACAATTTACCATATACTCTATACAATATATAGATTTATTACAAAGACAAGACAATGCAGAATATTGTTTTTCCTATCTTAAAAGGCTTTGCTACTTTACCATTCTCCTTGTTCACCAGGTAGAAGAATAAAAGAGTGAGAATGTTCTCCAGGGTTATCACTGAGTATTTCATCAAACACATCTCTCTGCCGATTACTCTACCCAATTACAAAAATAAAGGCTTTGCAGAAAGAGTCTCAACAGTCATCCCAGCCTTCTATAGAGCCACCTTTAGGGCTGCAACTCAGAAAGGCAGAAACTACACAAAGGACAGCAAGTCTTACTGAGATGAAGAAAAAGAAATGGAAGTTCAGGGCTGAAAAGGAAGCAGAAATTTGCAGAGCAAAATAACAAGGAAGAGAGCTTTGTGCAGAGAATAAGCTCTAGAAATCTTAATAACTATCCCACTGAGTCTGTGGCTGAACACTAAGCTGCATATTTACAGGGAAAAACTTCCTGAAGCCTGGCAAAGACCAGCCATAAAACGAACAGAGACACTGGAGGTCATCTAGTGCTAGAAGCTATTCAAGTTACAACCAACCAGAGTAAAGAGTTCTTATTGATCACACATGGCATTAAGTCCAACCCCCAAAAGGTTTTACCTTAAAAGAAGCATTATTAGACCCCTAGAAAATAAAGACAATTCTAGACCCACCCTAACAAAGCTTAAAGTCAAGCTGAGTCACAAGTAAACTGAATGACAAAATAAAATTCAATCCTCCTTAAAGGAAGACAACAAATGTCAAAAACTCAACAACAAAGCATCTACAACGTATAGAGTACAATTAACAAATCAGCATACGTAAAAAGAAGCAGAAAAACTTTATCCATAAGCAAAGGAAAAATCAGTTAATAGAAACAGACCCAGAAGTGAAAGAGATGTTGGAATAAGCAAACAAAGACATCAAAGCAGTTATAAACATGTTCAAAGATTTAAAAGAAAACTGAACATAATGAGAAAATGGCTAGGGAATCTTAGTAAAGACATGAAAACTGTTAAAAGAACCAAATGAAAAAACTTGAACTAAAAAAATACATGATCTGAAATAGTTTAATGGATAGGCTTAACAGCAGATCGGACATTGTAGAAGAAAACAAATCTCTGAACTTAAAGATGTAGCGACAGAAGCTACCAACAGAAGTATAGAAAAAATGAGGACAAATAAATATAGCTTCAAGGAACTGCTGGACAATATAAGTAGTATAATAAAGCTGAATGCACGGGCACATGTGATTAGCACCAGTTACTCAGGAGGCAGGAGAACACCTGGAACCCAGGAGTTTGAGTCCAGCCTGGGCAACATAGTGAGATCCTGTCTCTAAAAATAAAATTTAAGAATAAATACATAAATAAACAACACATTTAAAATTGGAATACCAGAAAGAAAGGAGAATGAGACTAAAGCACAAAAGTACTTGAAGAAAAATAATGGCCAAAATTTTTCCAGATTGGATAAAACTATAAACCCATAGATCCAAAAAGTTCAAAGAGGCCCAAGAAGGATATAAAAAAAGAAAACCACCAAGACACAAAATAATTATATTGCTAAAAACAAAGATAAAAAAGGAAGCCTTAAGAAATAAAGTCAAAAGAAATAAAGACCTATGTCTACACAGATGTGTATTAGAATGTTCACAGTAGACCGGGTGTGGCGGCTCACATCTGTAATCTCAGCACTCTGGGAGGCTGAGGCAGGAGTATTGCTTGAACCCAGAAGTTCAAGACTAACCTAGGCAACATAACAAAATCTCGTCTCTACAAAAAACACAAAATTAGTTAGGTATGGTGGTACCCGCCTTTAGTCTCAGCTACTCAGTGTACTGAGGTGGAAGGATTGCCTGAGCCCAGGAGGTTGAGGCTGCTGTGAGCTACGACCACAGCATGTGATCATGCCACTGCAGTCTAGCAACAGAGTGAGACGCTGACCAAAACAAAAAAAGAAATGTTCATAACAGACTTATTCACAATGGCTTAGAAGTACAAATAGCCCAACTACCATTCATCAGAATGAGATATAAACAAATTGTATATATTCATATAATGTAACACTACACAGCAATAAACAGAAATGAACTTGTGTTGCAACTAACATGAACGAAAATCTGAAATATGTGTCAAGTGAAGAAGTAGGAAAAAATGAGGTCACAGTATGTGACTCCATTTACATGAAGATATACAACAGGCAAAGCTAATGTATATAGAGAAAATTAAGAACAGCAGTTGCTAAGGGACACAGGGAGAGGGAGTTATAGTTACTGATGGAGGGTAGGGCTTGGGGAACTTTCTGAAATGACCAGAGTGTTCCACATCTTGAAAGGGGCGCGAGCTACACAGCATGCATTTGTCAAAAGTGATCAAACTGATCATCTGAGATTTGTGCACAGCCTTTAGGTTAGAAAGAAACGTCAGAGTAGTGGTATTCACAAAAGCCAAAAAAGTAAAAATGACCTAAATGCCCAGCAACTAATGAGGGGATACATAGCAAGTGACAGGCTCAGACAATGGTAGTGCTTGGCCTAGGAAGGAACAAGGTACTGACACAGGCTACAACATGAATGAATCTTGAAAACAGTAATCTAAGTGAAAGAAGCCAGTCGCAAAAGCCCACATATTATATGAATTCATTTACAAGAAATGTCCAGAATATGCTAATCTACAGAGACAGAGTTCACATCAATGGTTGCTGCAGGCTGTGTGTGGAGGGGGGATGGAAGCAAGTGGGAGGGTAGAGTTTAGAGAGAAATGAGGAGTGACCACCAGTGCATACAGGGATATCCTTTTAGGGTAATAAAAATGCTTTAAAATTGATTGTAGTGATGACTGTACAACTCTGAATACACTAAAGATCACTGAATTGCACACTTTAAATAGCTAAATTATACAGGATGTGCATTATCTCAATAAAGCTGTTAAACATGAAAAGTTTCCATGCTAAAAGAACTTTCTAGTAACAAAATTAAGTAACACATATTAGTGAATAACAAAATACACATGACACTTTGATACACATTTCAATGAGGTGTGTGTGTGTGTGTATTTGGGTTTTTTTTTGTTGTTTTTTTTGAGTTGGAGTCTCCCTCCGTCGCCCAGGCTGGATTGCAGTGGCACCCTCACAGCCACCCCAGCATCGACCTGTTGGGCTCAGGTGATCCTTCCGTCTCAGCCTTCCAAGTAGCTGGAATTACAGGCGTGCACTACCACGCCTAGCTAGTTTTTTGATTTGGTGTAGAGACAAGGTCTTGCCAAGTTGCCTAGGCTGTTCTCGAACCCGCAAACTCAGGTAATTCCCTCAGTTAATCCCCTCACCTCGGTCTCCCAAAGTGCTGGAATTACAGGCTTGAGACGCTGCGCCCGGCCTCAATGAGGAATATTTTTAACTAAAAATTTTTAATAAAAATCATTTCCTAAGTGAAGTCATGAATAACTTACTTATTATGAGGAGAAACTTATTTCCAGATTTATAAATCCTATACTTTGAGGGGTGACGTTCCCTCAAAGGTACACTTTCCTCCAGCACAGAAGGAACTGCTGTTTTGAACTACCCAGGACAACTCAGAGAACTCATAGAATGAGGAGCTGTAAGAAGGAGAGAAGCACAAACCCACTCACGTCGGGTTCCAGGGTCACGCAGCGCTGGAACGCCCTGGCTGAGCCTCCGTAGTCTTCCAGGGCCAAATAGGCGCAGCCAAGAGAAAACCACACGCCGAGCTGCAAAGATTGAACGCCAGAGTCATGCCAGCACACAGATATAATCGGAATGTAATCTGAAAACTGTCTAAGGTACAATCAATAAACACACTCCAATAAAGATCACAGAGCTATATATTAAATATTGGCCTTACACTTCGTTTAAATGTAGGAAACTCAGCAATGGAGAAAAACTGTTCCACATAATTTTTGAAGCTAACACTCTGAAAGCATATGCAATACCACTGCATACCTTTTGCTGGGAAACACCATACTCAGTGTTAACCAAATTCCTTAAATGCAATGGACAGCTCCGTTTATAAGCCCTTCTATTAGAGCCGGATATCATAAGCCAGGTTTAACTGAACTTTTTTTTCTGAGTTGGAGTCTAACTCTGCAGCCCAGGCTGGAGTACAGTGGCACACTCATGGCCACCTCAGCCTCGACCTCTCGGGCTCAGGTGATCCTTCTGCCTCAGCCTTCCAAGTAGGTGGAACCTATGCCCGACTTTTTTTGATTTATTGTTGAGATGAGGTCTCGCCAAGTTGCCCAGGCTGGTCTCAAACACGTGGGCTCCAGCAATCCTCTCACCTTGGCCTCCTACCCAAAGTGCTGGGATTGTGGCCATGAGCCACCGTGTCCGGCCTGAACATTTTTACTAAGCATCTACTATGTAAAAAGTAGCTGGCCCTCTGTATGTGGTTTCCTCATATATGGGTTCAATCACCCACTGATTGAAAATATGTGAGAACAACATGGAATACTGACAAGAAAAATGATGATTTTTCCCTGTAATTATTCCCTAAACGATATAGTATGATGGCATTTACACAACATTTATATTTATTAGGTATCACATGTAATCTAGAGACGATTTAAAGGGTACGGGAGGATGTGCAGAGGTTACGTGCACACTATAACACCATCTCATCCTGGATTTGACCTCATTTGCTGAGCTGGGGATGGGGGTGGGGTCCCAGAGCAACCCCTGGCATTCTGAGGGACGACGAATACAAAGTAACAGCAGAGCCCGGCTCGGTGGCTCAGCCTGTAACCTCGTGCCTTTGGGAGGCTGAGGTGAGCGGATTGCCTGAGCCCGCGGGTTTGAGACCCGCCTGGGCAACTTGGCGAGACCTCATCTCTACAATAAGTCAAAATGAGCTGGGCGTGGTAGCGCACGCCTGTAGTTCCAGCTACTTGGAAGGCTGAGGTGGAAGGATCACCGGAGCCCAGCGGGTCGAGGGTGTGGTGGCTGGGAGCGGCCATTGCACTCCAGTCTGGGTGATAGAGTGAGACTCCAACTCAAAAAAAAAAAACCAAAGTAACAGCAGACTCACAGTCGATGAATGCATTACAGACTTAAAAGGGCACACTGCTGCTTTCATCTTCAAATCATACACCAAGTACAGCACTTCTGCTAGTGAACCAGGAGCCGAGCTGCCCTGGCACACACCCGCTCAGGCATGCCTGAAATTAACCCAGGAAGGGAGCCTCATCTGGATCACTCGTAATGCAGAGCCGGACTCAGGCAATCAGATCGCAATCACTGAGGTTCAGAAAACAGATCACATAGGAAGCAGCTATTCAAATGACAAAAAAGCCCCTACATCATAGGGTTTTTCCTTACAATTAGATAGCTCCCTCCAAGGGACATAAAGCTGATAAAAATTCAGTGAAATTAGTCAGAAATGCAGTGATTAGGAGGAGGCTGTTTCCCTCCAGATCAGTCAGTGAGGCCCATTTTACAAGCAGATTGAAGTCAGCCTCTTTACTAACTTCCAGGGAGGCAGTGAGCCAGCCGGCAGATGTGGCTGAGTGCTCAGGGCAGGAAAGAAGAGATGCTTTGCCCGTCCACAGCCTGTCATGGGGGCCTAGGCGGCCTCTGCAGCCCCCTCCCTTGGCCATGCCCCCAAAAATGTGTTCCATGTGGCCTGAAAGTTCTTCAAGCAGATAAAGACTTTTAGTGATGGTTAGAGATAAGCCTGAGAAAGCAAACGTCCTAGGACCATTTAACACTTTGCCATGAATTCACAGGAGGTTATAAATAACTGCTATCGCCTTTATGGAGAACAGATTTTGTTAGAGGAACAGGTAATGCCTGAGAGAGAATGGCTGGCTGTCCTGGGTCGGGGGAGAGGTACCGCACTGAAACCAAAAGTTAGAAGTTTATTTCTCTGAATCATGGGACTGTCAACAACTTAAAAGTGAGCTCACCGCTTTCTTTCATCTGGTTATTTATGGAATCAATGAAAAGAACTTCAATGCACCAAACCATACTTGCTGAACAAGATACATTCAGAGAGGACCTAAAGGCTGATGTGAACATATAAAATATAACATAAAACAAGCTCTCTAACTTCCAACCAAGCGGATAGTTTCCAAATCTGTGAATTATATTCCATCAATTTTAAGGTACACTTTTTTTTTCACCATTTAACATCTCTGAAATAGCAATACATCTTAAAAACCAATAGCTTGTCAGAATTTTATTGGCAACATTTTTTTTTCTATACCAGGAAGAACTTAAAGTAAAGGTGCCTCTCACTGCTGATGTCATTGTGGCTACACTGAATTACGGCAGAGCATTACTTGGATGAGGGATAGTTTATGGGGACTAAATCAAGAACAATGAGCACTGCCCTCAGGGTTCTCGAAATGCACATGCCCTGCTTGCTTTCCAACTAGCAAAGAACAAATACTGCTTCCCACTTGTTGTTATAAAAACTATGAGCATAAATTCAAGATCTAAATAAAAAACTAATCCCAGCACTTTGGGGGCCAAGGCGAGAGGACTGCTTGAGGCCAGAGTTCAAGACCAGTCTGGGAAACATAGCAAACCCTTGTCTCTACAAAAAAATTTAAGAATTAGCCATGCATGGTGGCACATGCCTGTAGTCTCAGCTACTCGAAGACTGAAGTGGAAGAATCATCTGAGCCCAGAAGGGCAAGGCTTCAGTGAGCCATGATCATGCCACTCTATTTCAACTTGGATGATAGAGTGAGTCCCTGATTCAGATAGATAGATTAGATAGATAGATAGATAGATAGATAGATAGAAAGATACCGATCCTGACTCAAATAAATAAATAACTTCAAAAATACTGGGTGTATAAAAAAAAAAGAGAATTGCAATAGTTTATATTAAGTAAGTCATGTGTCTGATTTTCATTAAATTTGTTTTAGTTTAAGACACTGCTTGTGCCACCATGCCACCAGCAGGGACACCAGCAGCTGGCCTTCCTTCTCCCATAAGAGGCTCTCTCCTCCAGCTGGGCCCTCCTATGATCCCCTTGCATATACTATAGCTACTCCTGTTCCTTGTTTACAGCAACCAAAACAACGAGCTCTTAATGGGCATCCACATGAGTGCCAAGCACTGACACCTCAAGCATTTCTCACAGCCCTGCAGGGTAGTTAACAGATCCACTAAGAGAGGCCAAAACAGAGGACAGACTCCACCCATCAGTGTGACTCCAAAGCCCACAATTCCTCCACTTGGCCATGATTATGGTACCACCCCTCAGCCTCCGGTAAGGAGGTTGGGGGGACACAGGACAGTTGGCACGTGCTGGGAAAACCCAAGAGATCCATTTTTCTGTTTTGTTTTTGAGTCAAAGTCATTCTGTTGCCCAGGTTGGAGTGCAGTGTCACGGTCATGGGCACCAAAGCATCAACCTGCTGGGCTCAGACGATCCTTCCACATCAGCCTTCCAAACAGCTGGACTAAAGGCACATGCTACCCACGACAGGCAAATTTTTTGATTTATTGTAGAGACGAGGCCTCACCAAGTCACTCAGGCTGGTCTCGAACCCCTGGGTTCAAACAATCCTCTCTCCTGTCTCCCAATGTGCTTGGATTATAGGTGTGAGCCACCATGCCTGGCTAGATCAATTTTTTTTTTTTTTCTGAGTTGGAGTCTCACTCTGTCGCCCAGACTGGAGTGCAGTGGCCGCTCCCGGCCACCGCAGCCTCGACCTGCTGGGCTCTGGCGATCCTTCCGCATCAGCCTGAACTTCAGGTGTTCAGGTGAAGAGATAGCCTTGGGGAGGTAATTCATCCTTTTTTTTTTTGAGTTGGAGTCTCACTCTGTCGCCCAGAC